GCCGGGGGTGGGGGGAGCCCTTCCGCTCCCCCAAATCCCCGAGCAATCGGCTCTGCCCGGCTCAGGGGGGCGATTAGGGGCTGAGCCCAGCTTAGCTCCCCCCTAATCCCCAAGTTTGGCCAGGCTGAGCCCTGATCCCCCCTAAGCAGCTTTGGGGGGCGCAGGTATATCAGGGGGGCGTGTGGTCGCCCCCCCCAGCGCCGCCATGGACGGGGACGAGTTCTACCTGTTCAAGAATGAGTCGGCATTGGGGCCCTGGGATGGGCCCCAGTACCACCTGGCACCCAAATGGGCCTTCCACCTGCAGGCCATCTTCATGGGGATGGTGTTCATGGTGGGGACCCCCCTGAACGCCATTGTCCTCGTTGTCACCGTCAAGTACAAAAAGCTGCGGCAGCCACTCAACTACATCCTGGTGAACATCTCCCTCAGTGGCCTCCTGTGCTGCATCCTCTGCGTCTTCCTCGTCTTCATCGCCAGCACGCAGGGCTACTTCGTCTTCGGGAAGCATGTGTGTGCCTTGGAGGGCTTCTCGGGGGCCACCGCAGGTAGGGGGCACGGGGGGCACTGTCCTGCTGGGGCTGGAGGGACCACTGTAACCTGGTGGGGCTGGGGGTGACCACTGTGGCCCCCACGGTGTGGAGGAGCTGGAGGTGACCACTATAACCTGATGGGGCTGGGTGAATTTGGGTGACTCTAACAGGCTGGAGGAGTTGGGGTGACCACTGTGGTCTGCTGAGGCTCAGAGTAAAGCTGACCATCACATTCTACTGGAGCTGGAGGAGTTGGGGTGTCCACTGAGGTCTGGTGGGGCTGCAAGAGTTAGAGTGACCATCCTGACCTCCTGGGCCTGTAGGAGTTGACCACTGTAGTCTGGAGGAGCTGCAGGAGTTAGGATCACCACTGGGATCTGGTGGTGCACCACGTAGGGTTGACCAGCATGGTCTGGTGGGCAGGAGGAGTTGGGGTGACCCCAGTGGGCTGGTGGGACTGGAGGTGTGGGGTCCACTCTGGTCTGGCAGATCTGGAGGTGGGGGTGACTCTGTGGCCAGGGGGCTGTGTCCCTGCTGGCCATGGGGCGGGTACTAGGCCACTGTCCATGCCCCCAGGGCTGGTGACAGGGTGGTCTCTGGCCTTCCTGGCCTTCGAGCGCTACATCGTCATCTGCAAACCCCTGGGCAACTTCCGCTTCACCTCGCGCCACGCGCTGCTTGTGGTGGCAGCCACCTGGGTCATCGGCGTGGGCGTCAGCATCCCGCCCTTCCTCGGCTGGAGCAGGTGGGGGCGCGGGGGGCAGGACCTCCAGAAGCAGCAAGTCAGGGGTCATGGGCGTGCCAAGAGGATGCTGAGACAACCAGCAGTGCCCTGGGGTGACACCGGGGGGAATCAG